ACCATGGGATAATGAACAATTTAAAGAACTATGAATTGAATGCTAGTGCAAATATGAGTCTTTGTACTACAAATCTAATATTACCTATTTTAATATCACTGGAGAAAGAGAAATGTCATTGCATTAATGTCTGCTGCACATTAGAGAGAAGGCTTTATATCATTCAATTTTCATCCACCATCGTTTAAACTTTTTAAATGTTTTTCGAAAAAGATTGAGTGATTGGTAATGTTTCGCCATGTTTGCTGTAGCTCTTTCTCTCAAGATAGTTTGTATTCATCCTTTTGAATGTGAGTTAGAGAGATGATACCTCATGCCCTAATTATTCCCACCTGTGTATCCTAAAAACTAAGGATGTTATTTTTTTCTGGAATCTTTAAGCTGAATCTTAAGTCTTCATTGAACAATCAACATTTGTTTTCAGAAAGGCTTCATAGCTGATATTGTATACTGTATTACAGAATGGTCTTCTCATTCTTAGTTACTAGCTATTGGTGATACTAAATTTGATTACTGACTTACAGTAATGAATGTCTGATCTATCCATTATAAAAGTGTATTTTTTACTTCCAAGTTAGCAAAGAACCTCTGGGGTGATATTTTGGTGCTGTAAAATAGGCTGCCTTCCAACCATTTTTCACTCAATAGATGTAGGGGCTTGGGGATATGCTGGTCAAAGGATACAAAATTTCAGTTAGGAGGAATGAGTTCAAGAGATCATTGTACATGATGACTATAGTTAATAACAATGTATTGTAGTCTTGACCATCTCTAAAACACTCAATTTTAAGTGTTCTCACTACAAAAAATGACAGGTATGTGGGGTAATGCATATGTTAATTAGCTATGTTAAGCCATTCTACACTGTATACATACATATTTCAAAACATCATGTTGTACCTAGCTTAAATTTGTCAATTAAAAAATAATTAATGTTTAAAACTCCAAACATTTAATGAATTGTTATATTTAAAGACAAAGTTTCCTTGAAGACATAATTTCTATTGTAAAGAAAGATATGGGTGTTTATTCCCTTTTATACTTGTTGCTGTTATTATATATGCAAAAGACTGTTTTAAGATGCTCCACTCATATATTGTTTGTGTGTATGTATATTGTGTATGTATATATACATATGCATGTGTGTACATACATGTATATGTACATATATACATGCATGTAATCTTGTATATGGTAAGTTTAAGTATGCCATACAATCCCTACACAAAAATATATGAAGCCATGTAGCAAAATATTTATAATCAATAACCTTATAAGTCAGAGTTCAGTTTTAACCCCAGAGGCTTTTTAGTGAATTGTAAAATTCTAAAAATATTTTAATATTTATGTAAAATATGTAATATAGGTAAAGACTACAGGAAAGCAGCAGGTTGAAGACAAGCAGGTGAGTTTAGTGTTTATTGAGAAAATGTGTGAAGTTTGTTGGAATTTACATGAAATTGAATCACCAATGGAAATAAAATTTGGTTGTCGGTAGAGCATCCAATTGAGAAATGTAGAAGTTCCATATGTTATGAAAAATAATCAAAGCCTTGAGTCTGGATGAAGATATCTATAGACAGCACGTTGAAAAGAACAAGATGAAATCTGAGCCATGTGAAACACAAGTATTTAAGGGGTATGGCGAGGGAAACAAGTTATCATGGATGAGGCATTAGTCCTCCAGATTTGGAGTCAATGGATAGAAAATCTAGAAAACAGATTTTGTAAAATAAATTTGAGAAAAAACGAGACTTAATTATAAAATTGGAATTGATCTCCCCGAAAAGTAGTGAAGGCCCATTGGCTACTAAATTCACAGGAGTGTACATATTTCATCGAAGATTGTTATGAGGGTCCATCTGACCAATTTCCAACCCTGAATGACTATGATGTTATGATTCGAGACTTCCTTTTTATATTGAAAGATGCCTTATTTGTTTGTATGGATTTGAGGATATAGGATGTATAATAGCATTTGAGTTTATTTAGAACAAGCTTTTTATCCCCCCTCTGAATAGAATACTGGTGCAGAAAATAGAATTTACATTCTGTTCAGTTGTTTCAGATTGAGCGTCTATCACTTAAGCAAGGTTTGTATTCTTAGTTACCATCTCTTTATTAAATTATTTGTTATCTTTGGTTCAATATAAGATGGGTAGGTATATAAATGAGAAGCAGGCAGAATACCTGAACCTCAGGAATTTAGATTATAGTGGGGGTGACAGAAACATAAAACCCAGCAACTCTGCTGCCAGTGTGTTTCTAGATGGAATGGCAGCTTTTACCAATTGCAACTGAACCTACTTCAATTCAGGCCTGGGTAGCCCAAAATTCAGAGCTGGAATATAAGAAGACCTCCTTCAGATGTGTTAAACACACCGTAATCTCTTGCTCTCTTCTAGTCCATAGCTCGCATAATCAATACTACTTAACCAAAAATTTAAGTCAATGTCTTTTGAACTGGGCTTAAATTAGTCCTCCATCTCTCTTGCAGTTAGTCAAGTGGCTATTTCATGTTATTGTTATCTTTTGACAGGAAGGAGAAGAAAGAAAAAATGTAGTAAAGCAGCTAAAAATAACACCTTTTGTTTCCTTTTGGTCTGGTATATCATTAATTAAAGGCAGAACAAGGCAGATTGAATGGACTTTTGAGATATGGTAAGATTCATTGATTAATGCAAAGTCTATTCTTTCCTGAGCCTAAGAGGGGGCCAGAAAGGTGATGAGTAAGAACAGAGAAGCAAATTTATAAACCACTTAAGATAGGTTACATGCAGGCGAAAATCTATTTTATATGATTTAGGTATTTCATTTCAAATGACAGTAAACTGTTTTTCCTCATCTCTGTTGCTTTCGTAATAATATCCTCATTCTCAGGAAGAATTCAATAACAAAGGTACACAAACCTCATCCCGAAAGTCTTGCAATATTTTATAGACACGCTGATTTAATTTATATTGTGGATTTGGATGAATCTGTATTATATTTTTAACAGAGTGATTAGAAATGTGTGGTTCCACATTAAGTAACAGATTGTAAATTAAAAGTAGGGCTTCCCTTAAAAGTCTGCATTGTGCTACTAAAAAATAATTCATACAATTAAAGTGATTCAAAACACATTCTATCATTTAAAACACGATTGTAGGTAAGCAAGGTGGTTCTCATAAAAGCTGTTTCATGTATTTGACCAAGCAATTTCTGATGATCTTCCTACAACAATCTCTTATATTTGGTTAGTCTGCATGAGCAAGATGAGTTAATTGATGACAGAACATTCTGAACACTGCCTCAAAACCCACACAAATGCCTGCTCCCCAGTCTTTCTCATTGATGTGACTTAAAAGTTTGACCTCAACAACTTGTGCATGCAATAAGTTCACAGGCTGATAAGGTAAAGTGGACACATTTTCTGCTTTATCACTTGCAACATCTATTTTAAGGGTAAAATGACAGCCATCACTAGAGAGGCAAGAATGAATAAAGCAAGAATGAGTATCTTTTCTCTTTTGTCTGCACAGATCTGAACTTTTCTTATCATTTTAGCTACATCAGGTTATTATAATTATGTGACACTTGTGGGAGGGCGGAGGGAAGGCAGGGAGACTAGGGTGAATAAATAGGCTGCATACAAAAGCCAAGTGGACTCATGTTAGCCCTTTTATTCCTTTTTAAAAATTTCTAAATCATCCCTGAATAGCTGTGTCTAAGACAAAATGTGTCAACCTAGCTAGTGGAGACACAAAATGAATGACCTCTGTGATGTTTCCAGAGGGCATTACCTGCATGTACTCACTGGCTCATTCATAAGTGACACAGTGTTCCCCGTATAAACATCTGCGCTTCTTCACTGCTCAGACCAAGAAATCCTTCCTCTGTAGATATTGTTAAAGGTGATTTTTTTTAAAGCCTGCAGAACATCAGAACTTGAATGACCTATGGCTCTACATTATTCGATTTAGGAGGTACACTCTTGGTTTTCATTGTGTCTGTGTCTGCTTATCAGTAGCAGAGCTATAAACACTGCTCATAGTTATCTTACATAGATATGACAGGTAGAGTGATTGTGCACCAGAGAAATTTAGTAGTGTAATTGAGCTTCTATATACATATATACTGCTACTCGGCTACTCTGAGTCTGGCTACAGAAACTGAAGTGTTGTGGTTAGCCTCCACTCTGAAATTCTACATAGGAAAATTAATGTGCAACTGAAGAAAAACAAAAAAATGCATTTTTTATTTAGGAAAAATGGGGATAGATGAATGAAAATACTTATACAGATGATTGTGACATAGAATCTCAAACAATTTAAAATGTTTTAAAATATCCAAACCAAAATATCCAAAGTTAGATGTTGTTTTAGTCATGCATTTATTGCAGTAAATTTATATCAGTCCTTTAAGACAAGAGATTGTTGCCTTCTAAAATACATGATGTTGCCCCCTTTCTTCCATGTTTCTCAGAACAAGTGTGACATTTTTATCATCCTCCCTCTTATTTGACAAGACCTATTTTTCCCCACATCCTCCCTGCCTCATATGAGGTACAGTCCCTGGAGTCTGTAATTGCCAGGAGATGAAGCGATGATGGGGAGTGATCACAGTCAATAGCTTTGATTAACAATAAGGTAGAAAATTAGCAATGCTAGCATTCAGCCACCCTGCCCTCTCCCTCCTCCATATGCTCTCTCAGTCCGTGCTGGCGGCCTCACAGAGGGCAGTCGGAGCCCTTCACCAGCTTTGAAGTGCAGCAAAGGTGCAGGCAGAGCAGAGAATTACGGAAATTAAGGAGAAAAAGTAAAAACTGTAAACCATGATGCTGAGACCTTCACAGGGCTTAGTGTGCCGCAGGAGGGGCGAGGATGAAGTGTGCTGTGTGTTGTCCTTGTGTGTTTTTCTGTCACATGTGGATTTACTTGTGTCTGGACATGCTGTGATCGAAATGGCAACTACTGTTACTACTGTGACCCCATCAGCAGCTCTGGTGTTGTTTCCGACAGACCCTGAAGATCTAGAGAGGGGGAACGACCACGGGACGCCGATCCCCACCTCTGATAACGATGACAATTCGCTGGGCTATACAGGTAGAGTGTCTCTTTCCCAAATACTAACTTCCTCCTAAAATACCTCCATCTCCATCAATCATCAACCACCTGTATTAAATTAATCCAATCATCCCTGCTTCCAGCTAACAACCACAAAAACTTCTCATTTTTCAGACCTCATTCTGTAGCTGGGAGGTCGTATTGCTAAAATAAACACTTTTGAGAACAGAAATGTACATGAAAACTGTAATCATTCTTATTATTTTGCTATGTTCAATACAAAAGAATGCTTATCAATCTGAAACTTTGATACTGCTAATATTTTTAGAATGATATTTCCTTAGAAATTTAATATTTGACTACATTGCTAACATAAACCAAAAAAAAACAAAACAAAACACTACCTGCAAGTAATTTGGATTCAAAATTATTTGTACTTTTTTTTTACACTTACAGTCTTAAAAACAACAGAAAGCAAAACTCTTAGCAAGAGTGACGTAATTCATAATCACCAACTTACATCTCAGGATTGTGTTTGCATGACTTATTGTTACCCAGCGTTCATAGTAACAAATTAACTAATTGAATGTGTTAGAAATAATTGAGATATAAATGTTTAAGAATGTTCACCCTGGAAATATGTTTTTTTAGTTCTAAATATAATTGCATAATTTATACCTCTAACTGAGATAATTTGACTAAAACTTTACATAAGAAGAAAGAATAAAATACATCACTTATAACCCATTGAATCAGATAATGTTGTTACAGTGGTCTTGATGTAATATCAGCTATTTGCAATGTTCTCTTCATTGGTCCTTGTTAATGCAGTCTCCATAGACTTTGCTAAGTTGTGAGCTGTAGGTTGGGTGTGTATTAGGTGGGGTAGTTGGGGTTAGAGTTGAGAGTCTTCTTCTATATCTTAACAATCATACAGATGACTGTTAACATAAAAAAGTAATTCAATAGGCACATTTCACTTTAGATAAAATAATAAACTGATATTTTACTTTTGAAGCATCCTCACAGTCTTCATAAATGTAACTCTCCAGTTTTTTCCCTGGCCTATGTAATTTTAGTTTTTAAACACTTGGAATAAGTAGAATAGTTAATATGACCTTTATAAACAATTTTAATATTTTTATATTTTTTTCATTTCTATAAATTTTTCATTTTTCCTATCTTCCAACATAAGAATGAGGATTCAAAGGCCTGCAAAATAAAAGTCCAGTGGGATGAGATGGTGAGGGAGTTTGTGTGATTCTTTCCCAGAAACTTAGCTAGAAAAAAAGTTGTAAATGCCGTTCCTTAGTACCATCAATACCAAAGAAGTTCGTATTTGTGAAAGGAGGAATCCAAGGTGGTATTCTTTCTCAGGGGCATCCTCGTTTGCCAATGCTTCTTAGTTCTATCCCCTTGTACTCACCCAGTCTGAACAACTGTATTGTTTTGATACGATAATAGCATTTGCTCTTTATCTTTTACAGATTTCTCAAAAATTATGTATAAGCAATGTATAACTCGTGTTGGAATGTCAAATTAAGAGAATTTAAATAGTAATACATTTCAGTTTAAATATTTTAATTTTTTTTCATTTTCATTTTTTCCCTTCAGGCTAATCAGGTGTCAAATTTCTCCCACTAAACACATCATTAGATAAATTAACATGAGGTAACAAACTTAAAATATTATAGTCTATAAAGGAACTAACTTAAAGTATTACAATTTAAGCCAAAGTGACTGGAAGACAATCTTTTGAATAATCTTGTTCCTGAGACTATACTGTCTTTAACAATCTAGTACTAAAGGAAGTCTATTCTGTATATTTTGTTTTGGAAAACTCTTGATTACTCAGAAACCTCTCTTCTGCCATACAAATTAAAAATGTTATGTGTCTCCTTTGTTTGCATATTAACCATATATGTACTCATTAAGAATTCCATTGCAAATGGAAAAATAAGAAAAATAAAGTAGAAAAAATGATTTTGGCTGCCTCATTACAACTGTAAAGAAAGATGCCAATTGGCCATATAGTTGAGGACTATTAGTTAAAAGTATTATTTGAAATTACCTACAGATATCCTTTTCTTTTGTATGCACATGTGAATGTGTGAATGTATAAATTCCCTGTACTATAATCACAGATAATTGAGTAGATATAATCTTTATATTAGAGAAAATTGAGTTAAGAATAAAATGGGATATGCCTATCTGTCCAGGAACATTTTTATATATTTAACGAAAATTGTCTGGATTTTAGTATATCTGGAGATGAATACCCTGCACACAGAGCAAGAACTTTTAAGAAGTAAAATATACATATTAAACAACTTAGAGAATGTACAATGCAATTGTCAAGTAAGTAATTGATATGAGTTACTTACAAAACGTTACCATGATATTAACAAGCAAGTATATCAGTTATTGTTTGTGGCATTAATATTTTTTACACAATATCTCAAAATGACTGAGCAGAATTTATATGTCAGAAGTTTATTTTTTGTTGCTTCACTTCATTGAGGTAACATGTGAGACTTTTCTTTCTCACCCTAACACTTAGTATATAAAAAAGAAAATAAATCTGTATAATCCTGGAAAACATTTTTGAGGGAACATGAAATAATCTCAAAAAAAGATCATTATTTCACTAAAATTCACATTTACATCCCTCCTAATTATCCTTTAAAAAAAAAACAACCTAAAAAGTGTATAATTTCTGCTGCAAGCTAATTTGTTACTATAACATCTGCTCTGATACTTACCCCATTTGGGACTATCACTGTCAAACTGACCCATTTAACTAGAATGCATGGATCACATCATATACATAGCTTACAATTTATATATTCATTAATGATGAGTGAACAAAGGATTGTCTTTTATGACAGTAGTTGCTGCTTATATCATATACCATTCTAATCTAAATTGTGTAAGTGATTTAGTTGGGATCAGTTTTTTAAAATGGATATACAGAATATCAGAGAAGAAATATATTGATTCCTTTTCTCCTTACCACCTCTAGAAACAATATTGTGAAGCCATGTAAGGTTTTGAAATATTTCAGTTTCACTCTTACAAATCAATGAATACAAAACAATTTCTAAGGTAGCACTGTGGTATGTTATTAAAGTGAACTTGTGCATTATTTATAGTGAAGTAGCCCATTTCTTGTTTAACCAAGCATGTCATAAATATTGGGGGTTATTTAACAGTTCACGGCATATAGCCTTTGTTCTAAGAACAAGTAAGAAGAGGTTTCAGATCAGCACTTTATGGGATCAGACACACATCCCAAAGAGTCTCAATATGTAATAATCAATGATTTTTTAAAGGGCTTCTGAAAAGAGCAGTGTTTATTGATTGCTGGAAGTGTATATGGTGTTTTTCAAATATAAAAAAAATTAAGTAATAAGTCTAAGAATATTTAAATTTCTAAAATAATATACATATAATTTATGTATAGATTTCTGGCAAATACTTTTGTCAAGACAAAAAATTTAATGAAAAATTTATTGATATATAAAAATTCAGGGAATAAATGGATGCTAATGAAATCCTAGTAACATTCCTAATCTTTTTACAAAGTAGTAATTAGGAAAGGAATTTAACATTATTCCTTCTTCTGAGTAACAAAATGTCCTTAAATTTGACTTGAAATGTCTAAAATATGACCTTTTTCCCTATTTTTACATACTCAAATAAGATAATGTCTTCCATCTCCACAAGTCTATTTTAAGGAATGGGCAGTGCCTATATTTACAGTAGAATATTGGAAGAAAAGCAAAATAATGCTAATTTAAAATCTTTAAACTAAAAAATTATCAGAGTCATGTTACTGTCAATTTAAGTAAAATCTAGCCATGAAATGTCGGAAATTTTAGAGTAATTTCAAATGGGGATATTAGGGTCTTTTACCACTCAACACTATCTCTAAGTAAAGTTTGGTTATAATTGTTTAGAAGAAAACAAAATATATTCTCTTATTTAAAAAAGAGAAAGAGGGAAAGAAAGGAAAGCCTTGACAAATTGGAATGTTTGCCCATATGAACATGAATGCAATCCCAAAACCACGGATGGTCTCATGCTTAGGAATTTCAACAAATAACTATTAGTTGATGGTGACACTGATTCTTGTGTCTCCCTACATTCTCAATTGTATAGCTTCACGATTCATACTACCATTTTGGGATATAAATTTTTAACATGTACGTACTGATACTAAACCAGTGTTTATTATTACTACATGCATGCAAGGCAGTTTTCTGAGCACTTTACCTGCAACAACTAGTTTAATCCTTCCAGCAACCCTCTAAGAGAGTGATATTATTAATAGCAACAGGGCCTGATAGCTGCTTCAATATTCTAAAAGATAAATAGTCCAAAATTAATCACATATTTCTAATCTCACATTGTCTTGAATTTAAATGAGTTGTGTCTACAAGCTACATTTGGGCGTGTAGTTAGAAACGGAACAGATTAACCATGTCAGGTTTGCCAGAAATAATAATATCATTATATAGTCATTTTTCCCATTATTTTACTGTCACTTTGTTAAATTAATAGAGTTTACATTAGTTTCATTAAGCAAACTATCTTTAGATGAGCCTACTGCAGAGCCAAGTATAATACTGTAAGTACATTTTCTTGTTTGTATGCAATTGATTATTTTCTGGAGTTAATAGTTGCATATTGTAACCTTTTAGATGCTCGATTATGTCTAATATTCCAACAATCAGTGATTTTCTCTGACACCTCTCTAATTAAACCTTTCATATTTTTGTACCAAACAGACTGGTTTCTCTTTAGACCTAAGACTTTCTCACATCACTCTTTTATGTTGGATCTCCTGTTTCTTAGATCTATTGTATTTCTCTTTCCTGGCTTCTTACTTATTAAAAGAATCCTGTCCTCCAGAAGGCATATTCAAGGAAAGCTGGGAGAACATCAAAATCAAAAGTTTTTGTAGGATGTGCTTTGTGATATTTTGCCCATGTTTGCTTGTTGCTTATTTGTTTTCCTTCATCATACTGGACACTAGA